CCATTTATTCACCATCCGAATCTTTCATATCACATAAAAAATACCACTATTTTAATTTTAAAAAGTGATATATATATATATATATTAAAAAGATTGGACGGAGGCTATGATACGAGCCCTTAACCAACCTCTTGTATCTAACCACTCGACTTAGCCGCACATATGATGTTGGGCCCACCAACTTACCAGGTTGGTCGGAGGCTATGATACGAGCCCCTGACCCCAAGGGACTTAGAACTGGCTTTACAGATGCCAACCATAGAGTAGGGGAACGTGACACATATATATATCTATATATTGAAGAATTGTGTTCTACGTATGTAAATTTCGCTAACCATTTTTCCTCATAACTTCTGCATCAAGAGTTGATAAAATTTGATGTTTTACCTGTGGTGACACGCCTTTTCTGTCCTCCAGAAATACCTCTTATCATTTCATCTCCTATCATTGTATCGGCACAAATATCCAATCCCAGGATCTGTTATCAAAATACAGTAACATTGGAAGGCTAACTTGAATACTTTTTTCATGTAATTTTGATTTGTTTCTGCAAAAAATAATCAAATCTCTCTATGTATGTCAAATAATTTTAGCTACCTTCATTATGTAATCAGTGATTACTCCAGTTTTCTTTCCTTCTATTGATGTTGCCTGTAAGAGTTAAAGAGTTTATATTTAAGCTCTTGTTAACTTTATATTTGCAAATATAAAATTAACTATCTGACCTTCATGAAGACATCAATATCAGGATCAGGTTTGATATTTGCTGCCTTTTCTCTTCTTGAAAGTTCAGTTAGCATATCTGTAATTTGGCCATAAAAATGAACAATCAACAATTTATTTCATGATTATTCATCCCTTAAGAACTGATTAATGTAGAAATTACCATATCGACATCCAACTCCTTGGCATCTTGCAGAAAACATTAGAGTTTCTCTCACTGTCATCTCTCCCATGTGGAGATCATGCTGACTTATATAGGCTGCTGTACGTTGTGGAACGAATTCATCCATTCCATGACCGTTATAGGTAACTTTACCAGAAACCTGCATTATTTTTGAAGAAGTATGTGAATTTCAGCTGTTTAAAACCGGGTAAGTTGGTGGGCCCAAAATCATATTCATAAATTTTAAATACCATTGAAAATTACAAAATTACAACTAGTAAAATTTATCAAGCAAAAAAAAGCCATATAGTATGTTAACGTAATGTCCAAAACACAATTTAAAGTAGAATACCTTGAGATCAGAACTTAGCTTTCCAGCAAGAGCTAGTAATACTGTTGTCTTCCCTGAACCTGGAGGACCAAGCAGCAAAGTCATCCTATGGGCCTTAATGATTCCACTAAGATTATGAAGGATGGTGAATGGCCTCTTCTTGTTTGGAAGTATGTGCAAATAATTGGCAATGGCCTGCATCAATTAGCCATGATAAAACTCAGAATTCTCTATCAAAAAGTTTGTCAACAAGGATCTTTGACTCTTTGTAGAGGGCTGTTTTAGTCCCAAAGTCTATAAAAGTGTTAATTTAGGCTCCGTTTAGGGCAGGTTATCTGTTGCGATGACGTTTTGAAAACTGACGTTTGAACAACTTATCCGCAGTTAGTTTTTTACACTAAACGCGGAACGCAGGTCGAATCCCGCGGTCCGCATTTCTAGATAAGCGGCTTATGTGGATAAACATAAGCTGCCCCAAACAGACTCTTAGTCGTCAGATATTTTAAATGCAAACTAAAATAATTCTATTTGGGCACTAATTTAGCTCATATTGAATGAGCGGAGAAAAACGTAGGACTAAAATGACCTTATGTAAATAGTCAGGGGACTATATTGTTACTTTACTCCCATCAAAACTATGTATTAAAACTTCAAAAAACTAAAAGGCTAAAAAACAGTGGTCCTCAATTCATAGATACCTCCAATTTGTTCATAATTGCATTGTAGAAAGAAGGCAAGCTTCTGCTACCCACGGAAGCTTCTGCTTCAATATTCAGGTTCTCAAATCTCATCTCGATGGTCGGAAAATCAAGTCCAACTCTGTAAATATTATATTGTTAGCGAGGTTGTTTACATATATAGCACATGAAACATTGCAGATTTCACTATGATTTTATTTGTATAGTTTTGTTGTCTGAAATAGGAAAAATAATTACAGTGAAATCCCCAAAAATACATGCAGGAGCAGTTTGAACACTGTAAATTTAGATTTTTACAGATAGTTTGTTTGTTGTTCGGCTAGTTAAGTAGTTTGTGTTTGATTCGTTCGCTAAACAAATGAGCCGAAAAACGAATAAAGATTTGTTTGTTTGCGTTCGGCTTGTTTTGACTCGAAATAATTAATTTATGTTTGTCTGACTATATGTATATGTGTTTGTGTATAACTGATGAGTATTATTTCTAAATAATTTAATTGACAACAACACTATAAAGATTTATAATCAAATACAATTATTAATTAGAAAAATAGAATAAAAATATATTAAATTCTATTTAAATGAATATTAATATAAATAATAAGATTTAAATCTTCACCCCAATTTCAAAACATCTAGTTGTTTGCGAATAACTCATGTTCGACTCCTCAAGCAAACGACTCGAACATAAATTAATTTTTGCACTCGATAAATAATAGGACAGGGCTCACTCAAGCTAGACTCTTTTATACCTTTAAATAAAACTACCAGAAGAAAATTAGGAATAAATTTTCATAGAGTAAATAAATAAAAAATAATTAAAAAAAAAACTATTCTGACCTATCAATGCGATTCTTGAGCTTGAGCAGAAACCTCTCATGGTCTTCTTCTGCAACTTTAACCAATCTCTCAAGCAGGTTTCTTCTCTCCTGTAAGTCCAGGGTCCTTATATCTACCTCCTTGAGTTCTCCTTCCGCCATGGCCATAACTCCCTTCCTGACTCTGTTATAAGTAGGGAGCTTCTCCAGCGCAGCCCAAATCAGAGCCTCCTCATCCTCCACCTCATTTCTCACATCAATAGATCTCGAGAAAATTTGATCATCTGCTCCTCGCCATGCTGATTTTGATCTGCTCATGCTTCTCGACGAATATATTTCTTCCATTTTATCTTCAGATTTTATGAATTATATGAAGCTGTGTGGTTTCCTTCTTCTGTGAACCAGAAGAAGAAGAAGAAGAAGAAGAAGAACGAGAGAGGAGTGAGGAGCGCTTAAATCCGTGCTGAAGAGCATTGTCTTCTGCTTGTATTTATCGTGTCAGTGGTTGGGTGAGAGCTGGGGGCTAAACATGACAAAATAGGGTTGTTTTTCTAATTAAAATTATGTTTAATTATTTTTAAATTAATTACAGATAAAAAAAATGATAATTTTCTTAAACTGAATAATTGGTTTGATAGAATCTCTCAGGGTCTTCTGGCTGTTATTGATGGAGAAATTATTGTATACAGACACCGCATGTATCTGTGCATGCGGTGTCCGATCCTGATGGTAGATCACGGTGATCTACGGTCAGGATATATTTCATTTAAAAAAAATTAGGTGGGGTCCACCGAAGTATATCCTGACCGTAGATCACCTGATTTACGGTCAGGATCGGACACCGCATGCCGTATGGAATAATTTTTCATTATTGATGGCGGCGTCTGTTTGGGGATAGGAAAATACGTGTTAGTAATTATCAATTTTTAAAATAATTTTTTTATTCAAAAATTACACTACACATTGATTTAAGTGTTATATATAATTTCATACATAATTTTATCATATTCAAGTGTTATAAACAATAGCGAGCCTAGACTCAACTCGTGTTCGGCTCGTTAAAAAATATCATTATTCGTGTTCGGTTCATTTATATTTTGAGCACAAAAACGTTTGTTTGTGTTAATTTGGCTCGTATACTCATTTACTTAGCGAGCCGAACACGAGCTGTTCGCGGAGTTGTTCACGAACAAAGAGTCATTTTGACAGCCCTAATCACGCAACCGCAAGATGTTAAGGGTTGGGGCAAGATTTAATTCTTACTATTCATATTGTTAAATATAATTTAATATATTTTCATTAAAATTTCTTAATTAATAATTTTAATTGATTATAAATCTTTGTAGCCTTTTAGTCAAATAATTTTTTTTTTATAATACTACTATATATAATAAATTTTCGAGCCAAAACGAGCAGAAAACGAAAGAACAACTCTTTCTTCGTGTTCGGCTCGTATACTTGTCGAGCACAAAAAAATGTTTGTGTTCGGCTCGTTAACTTAAGAAACGAATTGAACACGAGCTGTTCGCAACAAGCAGAACATGAGTTGTTTGCGAACACTGAGCCGTTTTGACAACCTATGTATATATGCGAGTTTTCCCTATTTGGCTCGAAATACTGCTCATCAATTATATATATACAATTACATGTGTAACAAGTATACTGTACACTAATTAATAGCAAATTATAATTAAATAAATTATTTCCATTTTTAAGGAAGATATTCTGTTGGTAGTTAGGTTTTCCCACTTAAAATGAATCGAACACGAGCTGTTCGCGAACAACGAGCCGTATTGACAGCCTACTTATCTATGTAAATTTTCTCTAATTAATAGTAAATTATAATAAAATAAATTATTTCCATTTTCAAGGAAGATATTCTGTCAGTTGTTAGGCTTTCGGTATCCAACCTTTCATAATATCTTAATGGTGTACGACAATTAACGAAGCTTAATTAACCTTAACGCAAATGCAACAAGCAATTTAATTCCTGAAGGTTCAGCTAAACCTTAATTATTTTCAATTCGTTCTCTAGTTTAATAAGCCAAACACAAACACTTCTTTTAGCGCTCGCTATATAAACGAGCTGAACACGAACATAGATTTGTTCGTTAATGTTCCAGTTCATTTTGGCTCGAAATACTGCTCATCAATTATATATATACAATTACATGTGTAACAAGTATACTGTACACCTCAGAACATATAAGCTATAGTTTATCTCCATACTATTTTGATCAAATTATTACGAATACTTATTAGTCAAACATCACATCAAAATATTTCAAAGTAAACATTCATAACCTTGAAAAATCACTAAATATTCCATTTGTATGGAAACCAAGCCCATGGCTTGAGTCATAAAATTTTCAATCTTCAATTTATTGACTACTTACTAAGTCTCAAAATTTCCTTCTTTTTTTCTACCATCTTTATTTTATCCTCTTAGGACCCCATTATTGCACGAAATGTGATCTATCATTATGTTACTAGGGACTTTGAGTTATTTATGTATGCTTAAGGCTATAATTGTTGGATGCCATTAATTATGGTCGTGCCTAGGGACGTGTCCGGCTCATTAAGAAGCCTGTGTTCCATTTGCTCTCTAATTTAATAAGCCGAACATAAACAATTTTTTTTGCGTTCGATATATAAACGAGCTGAACACGAACATAGATTTGTTCGTTAATGTTCCAGTTCATTTTGGCTCGAAATACTGCTCATCAATTATATATATACAATTACATGTGTAACAAGTATACTGTACACCTTAGAACATATAAGCTATAGTTTATCTCCATACTATTTTGATCAAATTATTACGAATACTTATTAGTCAAACATCACATCAAAATATTTCAAAGTAAACATTCATAACCTTGAAAAATCACCAAATATTCCATTTGTATGGAAACCAAGCCCATGGCTTGGGTCATAAAATTTTCAATCTTCAATTTATTGACTACTTACTAAGTCTCAAAACTTCCTTGTTTTTTTCTATCATCTTTATTTTATCCTCTTAGGACCCCATAATTGCACGAAATGTGATCTATCATGGGACTTTGAGTTAACTTTAGTTCATTAATTGGGGGTCAAAATAACATTATATGAAATTATTCTTGGGGGGTCACTAAGTCAAAGTTCATCTATTATTACTCTAAAAATGCAATTTCATATTTGTAATTATTTTATTTATTTTTATTTTTTTTGGAGAGGAACGTATTTTCTATTCTTGGGGGGTTACTAAGTCAAAGTTCATCTATTATTAATCTAAAAATGCAATTTCATATTTGCAATTATTTTATTTATTTATTTATTTTTTGGAGAGGAAAGTATTTTTTTAAGTAGATCAAGTATTTCTCTTGAAAGTTGCTAAGGAATGAAAGAAATTACTCCACAAGTATTGCATGAAATACTACAAATTTCATGCAAATTTTCTTTTATTTTATGCATGTGTTGTAAATAAAAAAGAAGTCGAATAATTGCATGCATTTATCACCATCTTTACTTGCAATTATTATTTATTTATTTATTTATTTATTTTTTACAACCTGAGTTAAAGAAGACCTGTTCTTTAGGATGGTGCTGCTGCATACTTAACAATGCAATCACATTTACAAGTTTTAGTCATGGAATCTTATTATATTGTTTCTATGACTCATAATTTTTTTTATTTTATTTCATGATCTTAAATCTATAAATAGCCATTAAGCTTTTATGTTATAAGACACCATGTTTCAACATATTCAAAACTTAAAGTGACAAATTTGTCTCTTTTTGTAAGAGACTAAGAGTATGTCTAAACTTGAATAAGAATTATCCAATTGATTTTGAACTAATCATATTGAATTTGTTCTCCTTTTTTCATATCTAAAACCCTAAATTAACTACATACATCCCACCAATCTTTCTGTACTATCATATCTACAACTCTTCTTATCTTATCTTCCATCAACTTTATGGCGAGCACACAAAGCGGAACGTACAATGACCCCTGAAAATCTCATCTTTCATGTTTTACCTTTGTTTTGCCTTAAATCCCTTTGTTTCCTCCCATCTTTCTCCTAGTGCTCTATTCCCACCCGAAACGAACCATTGAGGCAAGCTTGTCTTTCTACACCCTCCTCCCAAACACCTTCACACGATTTAGCTCCTCTAAATCCAATCAATCCGTCTTTCAACAAGATTTATACTTGTCTTTCTTCACCCTCCTCCCACCCACATTGTCTTGCGCCGTGACTCTTTGGTTGACAGATGCATTGTCAGTCGTGAGTCCCCTGGAGTCACAAGTTTGAAACCTTGCTCGGATTCACCTCACAAGACATCACACAAAGTGAGTGGAAGAATGTGATGTCATAAGCTCAACTCTATCTTCCCTCAACGATGAAAGAGACCACAATAGGTCATTAGCATGCCCTCCAACTGATTTCAAATCACAAACATCCACACTTGTTTACCTATATGAATAAACATTCATGCATATGAGAGGGATGCCATCAATTAATGATAATTTAGACTTTCAAGGCACAAAGATTCACACTCATCTATACCCATGAATCAAAATATTTGCACATCCTAACAGATTTAGAGTAAGATTGTAACCCAAATTTACCTTCTTTGTCTTCCTCCACGATTTTGGCGTGGTTGTGGCCTCGGCAATGAAGGGAGCTTCGACTGCCAAGGAAGGCTACTAGGATGTAGTCGGCGAGGTTGGCGGCATCGATGGAGGCGCGACTGAAGCGAGGACTAAATTTTTTCTTCACAACGCTTAAGAATTTTTTTTTGATAAATGTTCTAAATATAAACTTTTGATAAATGTTCTAAATATAATTCAAATGAAGTTCCAAAAACTGAAAAATCATCCATAAAAATTTTAATTCCTTTTTCAATTAAATAAAATAGTCATCATACATTACATTTTTGAAATGTAGCAGGTACATTACATAAACCAAATGACATTCTTCTAAAAGCAAATGTACCATAAAACCAAATGAAATGTTCGACTCATATACATATCAAGAACAAAAAAAAATGTTTGTGTTCGGCTCGTTAACTTAAGAAATGAATCGAACACGAGCTGTTCGCAAGCAACGAGCCAAACACAGCTGTTCGCGAACAACGAGACGTTTTGCAGCCTATGTTTATATGTAAGTTTTCCCTCATTAATAGCAAATTATAATTAAATAAATTATTTCCATTTTCAAGAAAGATATTAGGTCGGTAGTCAGGCTTTCCCATTTATAATTTTCGGTATCCGACCTTTCATAATATCTTAATGGCGTCCGACAATTAACGAAGCTTAATTAAATTTAAGCAAATGCAACCAGCGATATAATTGCTGAAAGTTCAGCTAAACCTTACTTATTGAGAACAGTAGGTCAAGCATAGCCTACTTGCTGAGAGTTTATCTTGCAGAGTGGTGGTGGTTTTAACATCTTAGATATAT